GTGTAGTTTTTACTTTAAAATATGTATTTTATAGCTTTGATCCCGAAAAATAGTTTATAGAAGGAGTTGGAGTCCATGGATTGCCTATTGGTTATCTTTCTCTACATAATGTAAAGTTGTAGTATGTTTCAAATGATTACAGTGGAAACAATTGTATTTCTAGACGAATTGATTTTTCATACATAAATTGCCATATCTGATGTGGGGATTAAAGACCTTATCCATATGAACAATTTGTCGGGGAGAAAGGGAAGTAAAACTTCAGTACTTTATATGAAGCATTTTCTTCTCCAAAATTGATCCCTTAACTTTACTAAGAATTCATTATACATTCTCCTGAATATCCAGAGAAGTTCGATCTTCGGTTGTTGAACTGAGTCTTAGAAAACTAGGAGTGGAAAGAGTAACGAAAGAGGATGTACAAAAGATGCAATGGGAAGTTTTGGAAGCAAAAATTCAAAGTTGGATTCATTTCATACGAATTGCGGTGATTGCCATCTCTAGAACATCTCTGTTTTTTTGTTGTTGTACGATTCCCTCGTCTCAGTCTTAACGCAACTGGGGCTATGTAGGGATTATTGATGTTGTTGTATGGCTCCATTTTTACTGTCGTATCTTCTTTTTTTTAATGTTGAGACAGGTCAAGCTTTTATTTGCTGGAGAAAAGAAAGTCTCTGATCAAATGTTTGAAGGTCATGATACTCTAGGGGATCAATGTTTTGCAGAGGTTACAACAAATGGTGTGTCTGTCCTACTCAGCTTTGGTGAGGCTATCTCTAAGAGCAAAAGATCACCTGAAAAGCTATTTGTCCTTCTTGACATGTATGAAATAATGAGAGAAGTTCAACCGGAGGTAGATGAGCATTGCTTCTGGTGTTTTTTTTTCTTCAAGTGTGCCACTTGTAACCTTTCAAATGATGAAGTACACAAATTTCAAAAGGGATTCCTCCAATGCCTCGCGATATTGCAGAGCTTGTTACGTGTTGCTTATAAACAAAACTCAACCAAACCAGCAAATAAGTCTTGAGCTACTTTGTGAGGTTGAGTTTTTAGGATATAAACTCAGTTTTAATACAGGACTTAGTTCATGTGTTTTAGTTATCTGTAATTGGTTAGGCAAAGCTGATACATTTAATGCTTTACAGAAATTCTCTTAACACCATCTTTCTTCCTTGGGAAATCTGTTAATGATGACAGTTGGATATACTTTTTGGAAATAAATATTGTGGTGAAGTGAGAGAGGCTGCTGCAATTTTGACAAAACGTTTGGCTGAGACAGCTCAAGAGACGTTCGTTGACTTTGAAGAAGCCGTAGAGAAAGATGCCACGAAAACGGCTGTTCAAGATGGAACGGTCCATCCCTTAACTAGCTATGTGATCAATTATGTCAAGTTTTTATACGAGTACGTGTCTCATTACTCCATCCTTTTACTCACTCTTTATTAAAAAATAAAAGTCTGATTGCTTGATCTTTACTATGTATGAACAGCTATCAATCAACTTTAAAAATGCTGTTTGGAGAGTTTGATGACACTGATGCTGATGTCCAAATGGGAGCTATAACAACACGAATCATACAAGCTCTTATGAATAATCTTGATGGGAAATCTAAGCAATATAAAGACCCTGCACTGACTCAACTGTTCATGATGAACAATATACACTACATTGTAAGATCTGTCCGCAGGTTAGGATTCTAGCTGTCTTTATATAGTAACACGTCAATGATGATATTGTTTCAACGACTTTCAGAGAATGTTACAAAGATAAAATTTCTTGGATTGATGTTTAGGTCGGAAGCTAAAGATATGTTAGGCGATGATTGGGTGCAGATACACAGAAGGATAGTCCAACAGCATGCAAATCAGTACAAGAGGCTCTCTTGGTCAAAGGTTTTTTTTAAAAAACCAAATCTATATTACATTAGACTTTTTTTTTATGATTTACTCCATCCATTTCACAAAACTCCAAGCACCCCATAAAACACTCCTACCCCACCTAAAATGTCTAAAATGCCCTCGAAACAACTTCTACCCGCAAGAAACTGCAAAATGGGGGTGTATTTTAAACATTTCGGGTGGGGGTAGAAGTGTTTTGTTGGGTGCCCAAAAGATTAGGATGGAAGACTTCTGTGAAACGGAGGGAGTAATTCTAAACCTGCCCCACAACATAATTAAGGCATCAGCTTTAGAAAGAACTCCGGTGATCAGATCATTGATTGTTTTGTTGCAGATTCTTCAGTGTGTATCGATCCAGGGAGTTTCCCAAGGGGGGAGCAATTCATTTACAGGGGATCCTCCTCCTCCTCCTTCGAGCTCCACAAGCAACGTTTCAAGGGCAACGGTAAAGGAAAGGTACAAAACCTTCAACACGCTGTTTGAAGAACTTCATCAAAGGCAATCACAATGGACAGTTCCCGACAGTGAGTTGCGCGAGTCCTTGAGGCTGTCCGTTGCTGAAGTTCTATTGACAGCTTATAGATCCTTCAACAAGCGCTTCGGGTAAAAGCTAAAGACCTCCTTGTCTTTCTCACTTAAACATAAGCAAACGATGAAAAATAAGATATTTTTTTGGATGATTTTAAATATGCATGCATGGACAGGCCTATGATTCAGAACGGCAAGAACCCACAGAAGTACATTCGGTTCACCCCGGAGGACCTTGAAAGGATGCTGTCTGAGTTGTTTGAAGGAAAGACATGGAATGAGCAAAAACGATAGAGATTTTGTTGTGGTTTTGCAGATCAATTTTGGGCCTTTTTGAGCTTCTCTTCTGATATTATTCATTCATTCAAATAAACTTACAATGCTAATAAATAGTGCACGGCGATGCATCCAAACATATCACTGATAAGAATGGTGTAAAAATGTGGAAGACCCGGCCTATATGAAACATAGTCTGTATATATGTCTTGCATTGAGATTGAGAGTACATACACTTTGGTATAAGTGATAAGAAATCACTTTTTAAGTTGTATCATATCACCCTAGTGACTGAAACAACAAGTTTTTTTTATTTATTAATGATGCGGATTAATTTTGTAAATATTTAAAGTGACTCTGAGATAACATTTCTAAACTACCGAAACTAAATGTTAGAAAAACATTTTAGGAGAAAAGAAACGTCATTAAATTTGAAGCGGAACAAAGTCGAAAGAAAAAGTTCCTAGTACATCATAACACCATGCCCGAGGATAAAATGACATGAACAATGCATAACGGACTACATAAGCTTCCTGCAATCAGAGCTAGCGATGCCCTTAGAAGATCCATCGTCAACTGAGAAATTCGTCACATTGTGACACATGATAGCAGAGCCTGAAACCACTCGAAATGAAAACACCCACTATTCTTTAATCAAGATTGTGCCTTCTTAGCAGCCAATGTCTCTGCCATTAAGGGGCACATGCAACGACGAAGGGGTTCTTTCACATCTCCCAAGAAAACTCCATCTAGAGAGTCTAGAGTGACACCAAAAAAAGCAAAGCCAGTAGCCTCAAAGAAACTTGGATCAACATAGCAGGTGGCAGGTAGGGAAAGCTCCATTAGATATTACTCCTAATTGTTGTTGCTGGTCGTGGGAAAAGATAAGGGGCTGGTTCGATTTCCATGCAGCTAGGAAGATATGTGCCGCAAAACAGGCCAGTAGCACGAGGGAGAGGCACTTCACTCTACCACCCTACCGAACTACGTGCAGTCCAGATTTCATGCAGAACTCTAACAGCGAGCTCTAAGTCCTTTGGGCTCAGAGAGTTCAATTCCACGACGTCTGGAATGAGTCTAGTTTGCCCCCCACCAATTGACTGGTGGCAAACTACACTCATTCCACACCTTCCTAGCATATAGATACAAGTAACTAGAGAATGCAAAACCGTCTTCGGTTGGTTGCCACAGACTGAACACAAAGACTCCACAACCACCCTTCCAAACGAACTTCCAATGAAAGTTAGCCGCTTGACCTGAAAGGCCTACATGAGATTGAATTTCTTGGTATGGTATCATAGTCTTGATGACCAAGCGATCACGAGTTCAAATATGAGTGTCACCCGATTTAAAAAAATTAATTTTCACGTGCAAAGCTTGAGCAAGGAATTTATTCTCTCCTCCAAGTGAGAGACGTGTGAGAGTATAAACTTAAATTCTTGGTTGAGTCTATTTTTTAGACAAGGACAATTAGCTCTTGCATAAAAAGAAAAGTAGCTTTTCTTTCCAAGTACTTTATTTTTCCATGAGGTTCACAACTATAAAAGTCCTCTCTCTCTCTCTCACTTCAATACAAAGTTAAAATGAAGTTTTACGAGATCTTAGTTAATTTGATGTATCCGAGCCCGTGTTTTGATATCAGAGTAGAAGATTGCGTTGCGTGAGATGTTCAAGGGTGACTAGAAGATCAAAGATTTACAGGACGTGATTTGTGTCGAAAATTTTTGTAATTAGTGACGGTCGGGTGGCATTTCCAATTAGAGGTTGAGTGATAGCAACGGCAAATAATAATCGGGTAATTTACCTATAAGACCAAAACATAATGATGATTTTCTCAATATAGAACCATGTGTTTTTATTTTCTAATGTGGGACCATTGATCATTATTCATTAGTCATTATTCAAGTATTTGTCTATCATCACTGGATATTATTCCTCCACTAGACATTATTAAGTATTATTTATAGAATAAAAAAGTTCAAGTCTTATTTAGTACAAATTTCACATAATAATTTGGTAGATCATGTTATGTGACTTATTAGTATATTTATAAAAATTTGGGGTTAAACCATAACCATTGTGAAAAAAGCTTTCCCAATAATAACTTTTAAAGAAGTCGTGGTGTGTTACACAAGATTGTAACGGTTGAGCATGAAAGGCGAAACAACAAACATGCAAATTCATCCAGCATAATAATCAATTAATTAATTCATCTCTTTTTGGTTTTCATTAATTTCATTTCAAGCATAATCAACATTATCATCAACAACTAATTAACGCCTAGCTCTTTAATTGCTAGCTAAATCTTTTATTTGATGCCATAATTCTCGTCGTCGCCGGAAAGTGTGGGAGAAACAACAACAACAACAGCGACGACGCCGCAGCCGGCCGGGAGGTGGTGGACATGAAATCCAATAATGTCTCCCCACCCGACAAGGAAAAGACGGCGGCGGCGGCGGAGGGCGTTTTAGGATACCCCGCCCCCAAACAGCCCCTTAATAATCCTCCTCTTCCTCGTCATCATCACCAATATCCCCCGACGACCAATAACCACCCTCTCCACGCCTACGCGCCGCCGCACCCCTACCCCGCCGCCGGCGGCCCCCACGGAGTATATCCCCCCAATCAATACCCTTCCCCCACGCCAAACCTTCCACATCACCCCGGGTATAATAATAATTACACCTCCACCCCTCTTCGCTCCTCGCCGCCGCCGCCGCCGCACCTCCTGGAATACGAGGCCCGCCGGAGCTTCGCATTTGCGCGGGTGATTCTCTGCCTCATGGTTTTCTTGATCCTCATGACCTCCGTCATGAGCCTCTTGACCTACATTGTCTTCGGCTCCGACATCCCCACCTTCGAAGTCGCCACGTTCGCCGTCCCGTCGTTCAACTTCACCGCCGCCGGGAAGAGCACCCTCACCGCCGCGTTCGAGGGCGGGGTCGCGGCGGAGAACCCGAACCACAAGCTCGACATCACGTTCCAGCACGTGGAGGTCGGGGTGGGGTACCGCCAGCTGGCCGTCATAGCCAAGAAGCAGATTGAGCCGTTCGAGCTCAAGAGGGACGCCAGGATGGTTTTGAAAACGGCGCCGCTTGCCACTCCGGCGGGGGGGTTCGGGGACGCCGGAGAGATTTGGTTGAAGGATATGAAAAGTGAGTACGACCGGGACCGGAGCGTGACGTTTGACCTAATGTTGACGGTGGTGGCGACGTTCAAGTCGGGGTCGTCATGGAGCCGGCGGACAATTTTTAAGGTTGTTTGCGCCGGCCTGAAGACGGAGTTTAAGGATCCGGGCGGTGCCGGAGTTTGGGATGGCGTTAAACCGGCGTGCATGGTTTTCGGTTGAACCCACAAAAAAAATACTTTTTTTGTGGTCAAAGTTTTAAGGTCAAAGTTTGTACATTTGATCTTGTTTCCTGAATAGTGTAAATTCTTCTAATTTTAAGGTCAAAGTTTGTACATTTGATCTTGTTTTTTTGTTGAAAATACATTAAGTTGTATTTCCTTCGTTGTCAAAAAGAGTTCATACTTTGAAAAAATGGAAAAATAAGGATGTGTAAAATTTTAGTTGACTTCCAATTTTGTTCTTGATGTAAAAGTAAGATTTGATGGATAGATTATTAGAGAAAAAGTATGATGTGATATGTAGGGTATGAAATAGTAAGGGTAAAAGTGGTTTTTTAATAGAAACTGGAAGTGTTTTGTTGGAAGTGAAAAAAATAAAAAAGGAAGTGTTTTTGAGAATGGATAGATTAATATAAAAGTAATAGTGAAATTTGCATTGAATAGAACTAAAACAAAAGCCATTTTTCAATGTAGGACTTAAACTTTTTTATTCCCTACATAGGACTTAATAATGACTAGTGAGAAAAGTAATGTCCAAGTGATGTTGGACATTTAGTTGAATAATGACTAATAGATAATGACAAATGGTCCTACATTGGAAATTAAAAACATATGGTCCTATATTGAGAAAGTCATTCTGTTTTAGTCTTATTTAGGTAAATTACCCAAAGTAATATCTTTTGGAATATAGTTTTATTTTAGTAGTGTTTTGTTTATAATCGGCATAAATTCTGAAAATGTTACATTACGATTAATGAAGTAATACTAATAGAAAATTTATCCTAAATATAATTTAAACATATAAAAATTACTAAAATAGAAGTTTCATAAATTTTTGGTAATGTATATAGTCATCAATGATACTATATATATATTCTAACTTTTATTTTAGAAATAAAAAAATGAGACTCTTATTTTGATATATTTTTAATATTTTATTCTTACTTTAATTTTTTTACATAAAGAAAAGCTTATTAATTACTAAGATGAGTATATTTCATTTTTATCTTCATACTCCGTAAAAATATTAAATGCAAATGTCCAAAATTTTTCTAGGGGTGTAGATCGTCCCATTCAATTTCATCCTAGTTTTTTCATTTCTCATCACACCCCATCACACCATAATAACAGTGCAGGGGTGTAGATCACGACGGTCATCATCATGGCTAATTTTTAAAAAAATGTATTTAAATGAAAAAAATTTAAAAGCAAAACATTAAATAAATGATTTATCAAAATTTAAATTTAATATTACATTGACATAATGAGAAAAAAGAAAAAAGTCCAAAAAAATTAAATACTCCCTCCGTCCGTAAATAATGCCAAAGTTTGACTTTTTTGTCATATTATAGCACTGTTTGACCTCAAATTAAATATAATTTAAAATAATTAAATATTATAAATATTTGATTTTTTAAAACCATATTTTAAAATAAACACAATTTTACTAAATTTACATTATAACTAAATTTTCTGTTTTGATAAGTTGTGATCAGAGAGTGCCACAATTTGACTAAAAAGTCAAACTAAGATAATTTTTTAGGAACGAGAGAGTAAAATTCAAATTATTTTATTTTTTTTAAAATTTAATTAACCAAAAACAAAAAAATCCTTGGTGGTAATCATTTAACTAAATACGTAGTAATATTAAGGGGGTGTTTCTCTGTGATGGTAGTTATTGGTTTATTGCTCCTAAGCTATTTTTAATTTAATGAAGTTTTATTAATTGGATTTTATAAAATACGTAATAAAAAATTAAAAAAATTAAGATTTGAAACTCCGAGGCTTCATACCTAGTTCAAATTTACTCTTTCCGTAATTTTGTACACATTTATTCGCCCATAGTTTAATTTTTTTCAATCCTTAGTCAAGTCAACAACTATGATTTATTTTTGTTGACCCAGATCCCTCACAAAAATAAAAAAACTAAGTAAATTTTGAATAGTTAAGTTAATAAAAACAAAACATTTTATTTATTTTTGTATTTCATTGTGAAATGTCAATATATATTATCGCGAAAAATATGACTACTCATGTTCTACATGGTTTTAAGTTTTAATTAGTTTTCTTCTTTTTAAATTTCCTTAACTCAAACGATGAAATTTATTTTAGAATCAGTGAATGTCTTTTTTTGTGATAGTTTAATTGATACATACTCCGTTTCAATAAATCTTTCTCCTTTTATTTTTTTCATTTCTCCAACACACTTCTATGTTTTATTAAAAATTACTTTTATGCCTACTTTTTCAAACATTATCTATCACGTTATATTTTTTTACTAACAATTTAGTGATCATATCTTACTTTTAGTCATTACATTAGAACAAAATCGGAATGTCAATTATATATATATGGGCACAAGCCACTAGCTTCATTCATGCATGTTCACTATTTTACCTTTTATCCAAATTTCAATGGAGTAGGACGATAATTTAGCCACTTTGGGAGACTTTCTTCCCCACACTCATGCACAACATAATCAAATCACACAGACAACCGTCCCTTAATTAATTCCACCATATTCCATGCATAGGTAGGATATACACATCATTAAATAGTTNATATCCTAAAATACTTGTCAATTCAAATAATATGTAAAATATTATAAATTTTAAAATTATTTTAATTACTAATTATTATAGATAAAAAATAAAATTTTATATCGTTCAAAAATACTCCGTCAAAAGTTTTAAAAAAACAAGAGATAATGAAAATATATTATTATATCAATTAATCAATGTAAACATACAAACAAAAGTTATTGAGCGACTATTATAATAACAGTGCAATCTATATTGGTTGATTAAGTTCTTTGACATGGTATCAGAGAATCAAAGAACCTGTTTAAATTTCAGTGTCACTTAATTTTAAAAAAAATTAATTTCAAATGAGACGATTAATTGGGGATATAGGACCCTATAAATACTTCTCGAGCCTTATTTAATTTATTTACTACAAACACCTAGCGTGCTATAGCACATCTCTACTACTCCTCCGCCTGCCGTCGCCGGAAAACCATGTCGGTGAAGGAGTGTAGCCACCACATGGACCGGAAAAAGAAGAGAATCCGGCGATTCCTCTCCGGCCTTATGATCTTCCTCTTCGTCATCCTCCTCGTCATCCTGATAATCTGGGCCATAATCCAGCCCAAGAAGCCCAATTTCGTTCTCCGGCAAGCCACCATCTTTAACTTCAACGTCTCCGCCCCAAACGTCTTCTCCACCACCATCCAAGTCACCGTCACCGCCCGCAACCCGAACAGTAACGTCGGGATTTATTACGACAAGCTCGACGTCTACGCCACCTACAGCGGCCAGCAAGTCACCTACTTCTCCGAGATCTCGCCGGTGTACCAAGGCCACAAGGACGTCAACGTTTGGTCACCGTTTCTTCGCGGCAATAACGTCCCCATTGCGCCGTTTTACGGCCCGGATCTCACCAGGGACAAGGCTGACGGCGCCGTCTGGCTCACGTTCAAGATCGCCGGCCGCGTTAGGTGGAGGGTAGGCGACGTTATCACGGGCCGTTACCATCTTCATGTAGACTGCCCGGCTTTTATTCCGCTGGGGACGACGCCGGGAGACGGCGGTATCGTCGTGGGAAACGCCGTCAAGTATCAGCTTTCCCAGAGTTGCGACGTTAGCGTTTGATGGTCAGGCTAGTCAACGTGGCATGGTTTCCAACTGTTTCTCCAGTTTTGAATTTCATAGTCAATATTAACAAACTTTGGTATAAATTAAATAAAATGATGTTAAATATTTGTTTAAAAATAATTTTATTTTTTATGTTATAGAATATTTTGAAAAAAATATTGCTCTATCTAATTGATATTTAATTATAAATTAAAAATAAATCTTGATTGACTATAAAAATCAAAACTTGACAAACATTTTCGAAGAAATGAGTATTTTTCTTCATTTTATTCGTGTTTTTTGAATCCTTTATCAAGCATGCAGTATAGAAGAATTGTACAATTTCACAAATAATACTCCGGGTAATACTCTCTACATCTAAAAAAAACTTTGTAGTTGGAAATTTTTATGGCACTTACTTTCAGTTTAAGAAACAAACTTCGTGACAGTAGGCGTTGCACAGTTGACAAAGGCAAAAAGTGTTTAGGTGGTAAGACCCGAGTTCGATTCGTAGCAATTGCGTTGGGAGGTAACTATCTTAACTATAGGACTTCTGTAAATACTAGGTGTAGACTCCATTCTTTATCACCAATATGTGATCAATGTCCAATTTATCTCCTCTGTGACCGTCCAGCTGAGTCTGAAGGACTCTCAGGGATGGGGTTCATTCTTTTTTAAGAAACAAAATTCGTGAATTATTTGTCTATAGTACGTTATGCAAGAAACCCACCACAATTGACATCATTAACAAAATTTGTGAGTAATTGTTTCTAAATTTGAAAACGTCAAACAATATAATAATGTTCTCTGAACATAGAGAGATACAGACGATTGTCAGATGTGTATCTACAAATTGTCACGTCATACAAAAAACTCCAACAGAATCACAATTGACATCATTGATGACAATCGTTTGTGAATTTGTAGACATAAGACAACAATTGTCTATGAACATACAGAGTTAGAGACGATTAGGCCATGGGGTGTGCCCATCATCTTCCCCTTTTTCCTTCTTCCAACTCAATGTCACGTCGGCTTTTATTTTCCCTTCATTTATCTTTCCCCTTGAATTTTTAATACTTATTTTAATTCAAATAAATAAATTAAAAACATTAAAATTATAAAATAATTGAACATTTTAAGAAATATAAAATTGAACATTTTATGAAAATATAAAATTTAAATAAGAGTTACAATAATTTTGCGACTAAGAATTCTAAGAAATATAATAATAGTGCATAAAACAATATGTTTTTATAAGAAAAATAAGAATACATAAAAATAATAACAATAAAAACTAAACATTCCCACTTTCCAAGCCACCTTCGGGTTATATTATTTTTCATCATCACCACCACCACACGTTCCCTCGGAGGAAGATTATCGACGTTGGTGGTCATGATTTTGAAATGCCCTTGCTCAAGGAGTTGCTTTTCGAGGGCAAGTTGTGCCTCCTTTTCTTTGCGTCTTTGCTCAAGTTTCTCCGCTCTCACTTTTTCTTTAGCCTGAAGCCTCTCTGTTTGCATGTCCGGAATGGCGGACAACGAAGTGCTGAGGTACTTGAACCCTTTAAGTAAGGGTTTGGGCGCCATGCGCGAGAACCCTTCTCTTTTCTTTGCTCGATCCCTTCCGGTGGGTCGTTCTGGCTCTGATGGTGATGGTATGTCGTCATTATCTTCACTCATACTCGGCATCCAACGTAACGTGCATCGGACATGCCGAGACAGTCGCCCGATTCAGACATTTTGCTTCGCTTCGTTTGGGATACCTCGTTTGGAACTGGCGCCCACTTAGAACATTTGTGGAAGATGTCTCACGCCGTAAGATGCGGGAATGAAGAAGAAAATTGCACTTGATATTTTTCAACTTTCAAGTGCTTGCTGCAAGACGTCTTGATCACTCAAAACGCTTGCACAGTTCACGTAAATGTTGTTGTAGATACCGCTAAATTTTTGAATTTTTTATTCATTTCACGATACCTGGAAGCTACAAAGTGAATAAGGCGGTAGGGCTCTGATGCGTGCATCAAATTAGGGGTGGGTTCGGTTTTGGCGGTTCGGTTTTCCCCCAAAACCAAAGACAAAACGGAAGGTAAATTGGCGGTTCGGTTCGGTTCGGTTTTGCATAAAAAATATGTAAACCGTTGGTTATTCGGTTCGGTTTTATACGGTTTTTATTTCGGTTTTTTTCGGTTTTTTCGGTTTATAAAAGTAGAAATTTATAAGCATTAAAAATAGTAAAAACACTAACTCGATGAAACAATAACAATATGTAGTGTGAGCTTTGATTTTTTTGTTTGATTTTTACACAAAAAACAAAAACCAAACGGAAGGTCATTGTTCCTTTCGGTTCGATTTTACATAAAAAATATGTGTTGAGTGCCCAACAAACATTTAGAAGATTCCAAATACTTCCATAGAAATCGTATGTAAAATCAATTACGAAGAATTTAGGTTTTTTGGTATAATACTTTCATTTTCATTATAATATCAAAGTATTTGTTATGTAAATATGTAAATTACTCGTATCAATTTTTAATGTTAATATAATTCTATTTTAGGATTAGCTATTGGTGTTTATATTCTTAGGTTTTTTCAAAGTTTATAATAATATGGCTAGAATGTTTAATTAATAGTTAAGAAAATAATTTTAATCGACTAGTAATTTATTTGCGTTTATATTTCTATAATTTTTTTACATATCACATATATTCATATAAATAAAGCGAAGTATCTAAGAAAGTTCGGTTTATTCGGTTCGGTTCGGTTTTTAAAAGTGAAAACCAAAACGGAACCAAACACTAACGGTTCGGTTTGGTTTTTTTACATTCGGTTTCAGTTTTTTTAGTTCGATTTTTTTTCGAGCTCGTTTCGATCGATTTCGGTTCGGTTTTCGGTTTTCGGTTTCCCAACCCAGCCCTACATCAAATCATGGAATTTTTCGGTCAATTTAGCCCAAGAGTCGTCGCACGTCTGAGCATTCTCTGAGCATTTAATATGTACTCCGTAATGTTTATTTTCTTGATGATATACCGACTTGTAAATAAAATAATTTTAAAAAGTAAGATATTTTTTCTTAAACTCCAATTTCTAATCAAATTGAGGATAGAGAAAGTAATTTTTAATTCCAAAAGGTGGCAAGAGAGTCTATCTTGGGATCTCCACATCTAGTAGAGTCCTATCATTGGACATGTTTTAAGGTACACGAAATTATTTAGCATGATATATGTACAAATGAGCAATGCTAGGGGTACACCACCTCATTCTCCACCATATATTTTTATTTGATTTTTATTTACTTATTTTTTTTAAATTTTTTTGCCTTTTTTAGTGGACAAAGAGGGGGTGGAGGACATATGGGGTACACCAAAGGTGTACCCCTAGCATTTTTCATTGAAGCTTGGTTAAATTACTATATATAGGTGAAGTTCCAATATTTCTAAATTGTGATTAATATGTTGTGGGAATGGATACTTGAATGGTAATGAGTCATTTTCTATCAATTTCAATCAATAATTGTGTACCCATAATAATAATTCGGAGTAATAAAAAATCAATCTTGTACTCCGTATAGCTTTTTGTGCCCGTGGAGTAGAACTTATCCGGATTGGGTTGGCCCCTGGATTCTATAGTCATTCAAAAAGAGTGACCAGGAAGCAAGCCAGTCGCTCATATGGGACAACTATGGTTTTTCGTTCGTAAAATTGATAGTTTTTAACTTCTATAATCTTTTTGATAAACCCTCCATCTGGTTTCGACTCCAACTCACACAACCACGTCAATTGTGGGGTACAACTTTAGTTGATTTTGGAATCAATTTTTAACTTCAAAATTCAATCGAGGTTGTATAATACTTAGGTAAATTTAATATCCGCATTTAACCTTAGAGTGAACTATCAAAATGGTATTTTTCCAAATTAGTTAAGTAACGTTGCCATTTGATAATTATTGTTTATTGAGAGTTATTTTAATAAAAAAATCATTAAAAAAAATACATCTTAATTACAAAGGGCCATATTGATAATTATTGTCTATTGAAAGCTAATTTAAGAAAATATTTTATTAGAAAAGATTGTTTTAAGAATTTACTATTAACTTTAAAACAATTATTTGAAGTGTTTAATAATTAAGAGAACAGTGCCAGTTGAATTGTGTTTATTTAGGTAATGAATGATGACAAATAGTTATGACCTTCCTCACATGCATATTACCCGGCCATCTCTTCAAAAAATATCTTTCACATTCGATTTATAAAATTTGACTAAAATTATTTTTAATTCAATTTATTTGATTATAGGTGTAAAATAAAAAAAAATATATATTTTAAAACTAAATCGAAAGTTTTACCAAACAAAAGTTGACATGACAATAATATTTTATCAAATAACTAACAAAAATAAGTAAATAAAGTAATTAAAATTGGATAATATGAATATTGTCTGAGTATATCATTTTAGGACGACGGACGAAATACAAGTTTGAATGATTTGGCCATTGGGATGGTGAAGTGGTTGTTTTGGTATGTTCTTATATGCTCCTACTAGTATATTATGTTCCATCACTTGGAGAATGAAACAAACAAGAAGTTAGAAAAAACTGAAAGAAATAAAAAGAAATCTTAATGAATTGAAAATTGTTGGAAAAAACAAAGTGTTTAAAAAATCACTCAAGTAAATGATCAACTAAAAGAATAATCTCTCCGTTTGCAAAAAGACTTCTCATTTTGATTTGAGGCAAAAATAAAGAAGTGTTAAATTATACTTCCTCCGTCCTAAAACTTTCTTCTCATAGCACTATTCCAACTTCACGGAAATTTATATTTATTTGTGTTTTTTCATGGCCTATATAATAAAATAAAATATTCTTGTCACCATTTGTTTTGTTGAACTTTTGATGTAGTTTTTAAATATATATGTTTTATTTTTTATTTATATACCAATATTTAAATAAAATAGATTGAAAAAACTTGGGATTTTTCTTCGTTTTGCGCAACGGGAAGAAAGTTTTAGGACGGAGGGAGTAGTTGATTTCCAATTTTGCCCCTGATGTGATGGGTAAAAGTAAGATGTGGTGGATAGATTATTAGAGAAAAAGTATGATGTGATAGGGGTATGAAAAGGTAAGGGTAAAAGTGGTTTTTTAATAGAAAAGGGAAGTGTTTTGGTGGAAGTGGAAAAAATGAAAGAGGAAATGTTTTTGAGAACGGAGGGAGTATGTTATAAAAACTAATTTTGGATAAAAAAAATGCATCATTTTCTTGTGTTCGAGAGCAATTTATATTAAGCACAACCAAATGTACTTTCCTCTTGGTACATCATGGGTATGGCAAACTTGTTACTCCCTCCGTCCTAAAACTTTCTTCTCAAAGTACTATTCCAACTTCACAAGAATTTATATTTATTTGTGTTTTTTCATGGCCTATATGATAAAATAAAATATTCTTGTCACCACTTGTTTTGTTGAACTTTTGATGTAGTTTTTAAATATGTATGTTTTATTTCTTATTTCTATACCAATATTTAAATAAAATAGATTGAAAAAACTTGGGATTTTTCTTCGTTTTGCGCAACGGGAAGAAAGTTTTAGGATGGAGGGAGTATTAAATAAATGTTTTAGAAAGAACATTACATTATATCAAAAATTCAGAATGAACATATTTCAGAATGAGCACTATGCGGAGCAGGCTATAGAATTAACAATATTGTTGAAAATGAATATTAGGTTGATTTAAATAAACATGTTATAGAATGAACACTATACAGACACTAGAATGAACAATATGATTGAAAATGAACATTTTGTTGATTCAAAATGAATATTCGTGAGGTGTATCTAGCCCTACGTACAACCAGGTGTACTCCATATATTTCACGAATTTGTCTTGTAAATAAGAGTTAGCCCACACTCTTAACATGTCACGACACGTCGCACGCAACACGCCTACCCGCGTTCGCGCGCACGCCCATCATCACGCGCGCGTGTCATGCAAGGGCGAGGAATCCTTTCTTTCTTCCTTCTAAAATTGTTTTGCCATGTAATTCAATGCTAGCATATAAATAGTGGAACATAAAAATTCTAAAATCCGATGTGAGATACGGAGTATATGAGTTTTACTCCTTACAAGTGTTCCCTTTTATGAATTATAACCCTACTTTGTAAAACAAACTTTCAAAGAATGTGTCATTATACCCATACTTTGTATCAAAGACAATTCATAGGAAGTATTTAGTGTTTTTAATTTTTCTTAATCTCTTTGTCAAATCAAAGAGGGGAAGAAATTTTTTGAAAGCTGTAATTATATTATTTGGTGAAAAATGTGATTATCATCCCATTGGCGTTTGGACTTTGGAGACTTCCTTGAGTAAAAAGTGCCAAAGTAAATTTTTGTTTGTCAAAAGTAATGTGAGAAAATTGAGCCATCTTTTATAAAAGCACTTTATGTTTGATATTTTTGCCAATTGGGACTTTCCTTGAACCTCACCACCTTAACATCTCACCAAGGCAAAGTATTTCATACCCCATTGTTTTGTTTAGCATATTACTCCGTGCCTATAACTAAGCCGAGCCATTACATGTATGATAAAATGGTAGCCTACCACAACCGCGGCCGCGGCGGCGACGGAGGTTGTTGCTGCTGCTGCAACCTCCTCACATGCTGTTGCGGCTGCCTCTTCGAGTGCATCCTCAGCTGCATCATCAAGATCTTGTGTGTCGCCGCCGTCGTCGCAGCCGCCGTATTTGCCGTCGCGTGGTTCGTCTTCCGCCGCCACGCGCCCCAGTTTTACGCGGACTCCGTCTCCTTAACCCTCCCCCACAACCAGAACAAGAGCCACGCGCCAATCGTCAGTTACCTCGCCGTGAACGTTTCCGTCCGCAACCCGAACAGGGGAATCGGGTTCTACTACGACAAAGTCGAGGCGACAACGACGATTGCGGGGCAGAGATTCTCCACCGCGGAGCTGCACCCGTTCTTTCAACGGGGAAAAAACACGACGGAGCTACATTTGGTATTTAAGGACCGGAACCGGACTTGGAGCGAGGAGATGATGAGGAGGAGAAATGGAGGTTTTGATATAAGCTTGAAGATTCATGTGAGAATGAGAGTGAAGGTTTTGGTGATGAGGGTGAAGAAAGTCAATTCCACAATTGAGTGTGATCTCAAAAATGTTACATCTTCATCTCCTCATGACTTTGAGAAAACTAGGTGTAACTATCAACATAAATTGGACATTTTCAAGTAGTGTTTGTTTCTTAGATTTATGCTACAAACTTATTAAAAATATGACACCAATGTTGACATTATTTTTTATGGATGATTGTTGTACGTACGAAATTAGCCCAATGTTGTCTAGCTTGGTGTCAATGTTAGTAAATTTCTAGATTTTCTGGTTGCCGTTACTTGGTATTATACCCCATATATATATGACCATAATTTGGCTTTGTGTGTTGAGCTCAAGTGGGTAATATTTGGAACCAATTTTTTTGTGTGTTTATTATACTTTTTTGCCTTTGTTTGGAAATAACATTTTCAATTAGCGTCAGCGTTTTAAAAATGTTTTAAAGATGTTGATTAATTCTAAAAGCACTAACCCTAAGGACACCTGTTAGATATCTTTTTCAAAATGCCTACACTAAACTCTAACAGTGTTGCCAAATAGAACCAGTGTCTATTTGTATTATTGAATGGAATACCTAATTGTTTTTATTTATTAAAGATATCTTTTTTATTTTAGAAAGATTTTCTTGTCACGGGTCAAGATATTTCTCTCAATATATTTTCAATTTAATTCATTCCGAGAATGGTTTGAAATTGAAATGCTGGAGTACAAATGTTATGGTTGAAAATGTGCGACCACAATTCAGATGACATTGTGGATTTGGAGGTGGAGCGAACCGAAAACTTTGTTCAAAAATCTAAAATTGTGACAGATAATGATTATTATCTCCAAGATGAGAAATTTACACATAATTTAATTATCGTAAATTCAAAATAAGTACTATACTAAAATAAATTGGTTCTTTGATCATTATTATCCCATTATTATTATTAGAATTAAGCTAGGGGTACACCAACATGAGTTACCCCAAGTGTACACCAAGCCAACACAGACACAAAGTGTCTGTGTTGCACAGACATTTTGTGTCTGTATTGGCTTGGTGTACACTTGGGTACCCCATGTTGGTGTAACCGCACTTATTATTATTATTATTATATGTCGGGGTGGAGTGGGCCCTGCCTTTTCGCTTACCGTTTCAAATTCCCCTGAAGTCCAAAACCTCTACTCCCACTACAATCCCAATTACCCAGCAGTTTTCTCGACATTATTATATCTTCTTCTGATCTCACAATAATCGCTGAATTTGCCCAGATTCCTCGATCTCTGTTCACCGCCGGCCATGTCCAAATCAAGGGAATCCTTCCACAGCCACGGACGCCGCGGCGGCGGGGGTGGATGCAACCCTTGCGGCTGCTGCTGCGGCTGCCTCTTCAACTGCTTCCTCAGCTGCATCTGCCAGATCTTGTGCACCCTGCTCGTCATCGCCGGCGTCGTCGCCGCCGTCCTATGGCTCGTCTTCCGCCCCAACGCCCTCCGGTTCTACGTCGACGACGCCACCCTCACGCAGTTCGATTACTCCGCAAGCGGCAAAACCCTCCGCTACAACCTCGCCGCGAGCATCTCGATTCGAAACCCTAACAAGCGGATCGGCGTCTACTACGACACCATCGAGGCGAGGGCGTTGTACGACAACCAGCGATTCGACGCCGTGAATCTGGACCCCTTCTTCCAGGGGACTAAAAACACATCTAATCTGCAATCGACGTTTAAAGGCCAGAATTCGCTACCCCTCAGAGACGATTCAAAGTACAGTGAACAGAAGAGAAATGGGGCTTATGAGATCGACTTGAAGCTGTATCTGAAAATCAGGCTGAAGTTCTGGTTCATCAAATCGAAGACATTCAAGTGCACAATCAATTGTAATCTGGAGAAGGTTCCTCTGGTCTCCAATGGCACATCACCTGGTAATTTCGAAAGAACAACCTGCCATCTTGATTGGTAGCTGCTGTTTTCTTCAGGATATATTATTATTCTTCATCAGATTCTTTATGCTCTAGGTAAAAAATAAACTCTGTCTTTAGTCTTTTACTGCGTTTAGATTCATTGGCATTTGTTTCCCATTTGCTGCATTTAGGATTGTGTTTTTCACATATTCCCCGTAAGGATTTCGTCTCGACTCGGTTTTCCAGATTGTTTCTCCATTTCAATTGCAGTTCACTTGTGTTTAGTGCAGTATATATTGCCTAGTGTGTAATTCCTAAAGCAAACCTATTATGTTTTTCGGAAGCCTTCAACCTAAACGCAACAACTACAACAAACCTAGTACAATCTAACGATGTAAGGTCTAGGGAAGGTATATGTATGCAGATCTTACCCTTAAAAGTCGAGAGATTGTTTTTGAAAAGACCCCTACCTAGAACACAATAGCAAAGACCATGGCATCTTGTCATTAGAGTGTGTTTGTATTGCTTAAACACATCTTGGTTCCTAAAGGAAAGTTTACAACTTTTAAAGGAACAAGTTCTTGCTACCTTAGTACCAACTTGGCCATCCCACACGGGGCTGTGGAACCTATTCTATGAGAACGGAAGAAGAGATGTAACCTTAGATTTTTGTTAAAGTTTGATTTTAGCTCTTCTCCTTGCTTGTTATCGTACTTTTAGGGCTCCTTTGTCAAGTTCATATACGGGGTTCTCGCCTTCTCGGCTGTGGCAATGTGGAGGTAGCTCAACTAGGTAAATGTTGGACTGGCGAACTTGGCTAGGAAGAAATAAAAAGAAAGATAATAAGATAGAGGATTGATTCTTCAAAAAGATTTGACCTTTGTCAATATTTCTATCCCTTTAAAAAGAAGGGTGTAATGTGGACTATAAAACCAACTTTTTCTTACCCTAACACTACTTTTCTAATTATAGTAGTTTTCAAGTATAGATAGTGATGGATACCTATGCCAATCCTAAACTTAGGGAGGTGTATTAAACGTTGATTCTGCAGTATTTTTTGGGATTTGAAAAGTCTATAGGTATTCAATTAAAATTTTAAAAAGTTCTTAAAAATCTAGATGTATTCAATTAAGATTTTAAAATATCCATCAAAATCTAAAGGTATTAAAAAGTCTACACATTTTCAAGAATTTTTGTTAAAAGCAAATTTTGATGGATTTCAAGGTTCATCATATAAATAGAAATCCATTTACAAATCTCTCATATAACGTAGGGATTTCACCTCTTGAATCTATTGCCTTCGTCCCCTACTTCGTATGCTAGAAGAGTACCAGTGTCAATTGCAAACACGGTGGCACATGAACGAAAAAAGGTATGCGACAAATAGGATTGCAGGGCGGTGGAGGGGTTTAGAGATAGGATCTGCGGCCCTCTAGTGGTGCCCCCGATTTTGTGATTGATATTCCCTAACCCCTTTTTTACATTTATTTTTTCATTTTTTTCTTTTGTTTTTGTTTGATTTTCCTTTCAAGGTAATTTTTTTGCTTTTGATCAATTTCTTTTTCATGGTAAATTTTACACTCTGTATACTTTTTCAATTTTTGTTTTGCTTTTGGTTCAATTTTGATTTGACCTTTTTTTGCTTTTTGTTCAATTTATTTCTAATAGTTGTTTTCACGGTAAATTTTTTGCTTTTGATCGATTTTTGGCTTTTTATTTTTATTTTTGTTCACGGTAATTTTTTTTGTTCCACATTATTATTATTTGGATTTTAAACAGTATATCACAATCTTTTAAAATCTTGCCAAAAAAATACAATAAAATCTATCTAAGTCGACATAGAATTAAAACAATCCACGAATTTTACATAATCTTTAAATTTTAAATAATCTTATACAAACTTTTAAAATCCAGACTGAATACACCCTCCTTAATCTGGATCCAAAAACCCTGTGTTTTATACATCAAAAACTATCTTCCTGAAGTACATAATAGAGTTGATGTAAAGGTTCAATTTCATTCGAAAATATTCCCTCCGTTCCCTCGTATATAGATCGCCCAGACACTATTCACATGATCAAATTTAGCTCATTTTGTTTGTATATTTTTACTATTCATTTTATAAAATAATGTTGTTTTTCATTTTTTGTTTTGTAGATTTTTTATGTAATTTTTCAATATATAAATTTTGTTTTTAAATTTTACTCCTATAATCAAATAAATTAAATTGAAAATAAAATTCACGTAACGAGTAATGGAAAGATCTATGGAGATAGAGTAAGTAGAAAATAAAGACAAATTTTTTTAAAGTAGACTCTTACTCAAAGAAGAAAAAAGTCATATTCCTTGTTTTTCTTTAATTTTTGGTCAATCGAACTAATAGTATTCTAAGTTTCACATTTAAATTTGAATTTTCTCACATATTTTGTATGGGCTTATAGTTGACCTCTTCATTTTTACTAAGCTTGATACACATAACCACATTATATATGAAGTATTACTGCTTATAAAATGAGCGTGAACTTAAAGACCACAAAAGAATTTGCCGTCCACGAAAGGCGGGAATTAGGCGTGAACTTTTGGCACATGGAATCAGCACTCCAAATGGGAAATGTAATTTTCAAAGCAAGTAATTCTATGGTTTTCTGATAGTCACATCCATTCTAATTATATGGACCTTGCTGATGTGGACTTCTTAGTACTACTATTAGGGAGCGTTTGGTTCGTATTGAAGAAAGGAAAAAGAAACAGGAAAGGGAATCAAAAGGAAAGGGAATAATTACCCTTGAATTACCCTATCTGTTTGGTTCGGGAAAGGAAATCAGAACAGGAGTAGAGGAATTGGAGCAGAAGGGAGAGGAATCGTAGCCCGAGGGGGAGGGGGAGGAACATACCTCGGCTACGTTGTGGATGGAGTCGTGGTGTGGCAGCGAGACACAGTGTGGTGGCGAGACGCGATGGGTGCCGACGAGACGCAGTGGGGCGACGGCTGGAAAAAACGGATGTGCTGTGCAGGAAGAAAGTGATGAAGGAAAGGCGGTGATTGGGGAAGAAGGGTTAGGGAAGGGGAAGAGGGAAATGAGAATGGAAAACCCTAATAGGGATGGGAGAATTGAAAGAGGCAAAACGGGGTAATTGAAAACCAAAAAGTGGAGAAACGAAATGAACTTTTTTTAAAAATAAACGACAACAAACGAAATCAGAGAATCCCATTCCGTTTTCCGTTTCCCTTACCCCTGAACCAAACGCCCCCTTAGTATCAGGATTAATGTTAGGATTATGATTAGGAGATTAGTATTATAGGATTAGGATTTGAATTGGGGATTAAGATTAGGATTAGAGGATTAGGCTTAGCATTAGGCACATTAATTTGGGTGACACGTGTCTTTTCCTATGCCATTTTTTATGAGAAAATTTATAAGTTAGACATGGAGCTTAGGTGCACTGAATTACCACTTTATTTTTCATGTTACTCCATATTTGATTCCTCTATTTATGGAACCAGCCCAATGCATATCATTCTTCATAGGGATGGCAACGGGTCGGGTTCGGTTCGGATATACCCCTACCCGAAACCGACCTGAAATTTTGATCGGATATTTTTTTTTGCCTGAACCCGAACTGTCGGGTATAAATTTCTACCCGAACCCGACTGCCTAAACCGAAACCCGAAACCGCAACCGAACCCGAGAATTTGACAAAAACCTAAGCCTAACCCGACCTGAAAACCGACCGACCCGACTGACCGACCGACCGACCCGACCGACTGACCATACCAATATCCTAATAAATCAGTTTTTTGTAATGATTTTTATTAAAATAATGATAAAATAATAAATGCATGTAATGATATAATTAGAATTCCAATACATAAAACATTTGAACGTTCAAAGACATCGTAAAATTAAGATATTAAAAAAGATGTGTCCAAAATAATAACCAAAACATGGAAGTATAACAAGTTTTCACAAATATTTCACAAGAGAAACAATACACATAAATATAACAAGTTTTCACAAATATTTTTCATGTCTATAACTGGTAACTCTCGTAAGCCAAAGACTTTTAATTGAAAAAGGTTTTTTTATATTTTAAAAAGATCTTTTATTTCGGGTTAATTATCGGGTCGGTCGGGTACGGGTCGGGTCAGTCAAATTTAATTACCGAAAACCGACCCGATAAAAGTCGGGTTCGGTTTTAAAATCTTCAGGTCGGTTTCGGATATTTATTTTTTCGGTCGGATTCGGATATTATATACATCGGTCGGATCGGAAAAAGTCAGATTCGGATAAAATTGTCATCCCTAATTCTTCATACTCAGCCCAATCTTTTCATTATCCAGAAAAAGCTCTCGATAGAAATGGACTAAACATTATTTGCAGTGGGTCTGATGGGCTTATATGAATTAAAGTAAAACACACTTCTGAGCCCAATCTTTTCATTGCCCAGAAAATTAAATCTTACCATCAACCGAGACCGAACCATGTAGAAAAATTCTTATTTACAATGTCTTTGTGTGATATTAGCTTTCAAGGGCCGGTTACGAGACTTCGTCGGTAAAATTAATGGTTTCCATCTTCTTAACCAATCAAGAAAGGGAGGGGGCTCACAGGCCACAGAGCTGCAGGGGGTTTTGGGGGCGGGGGTTATGAGCTATCAATTTTACCAATGGAAATCTCGTAGTAAGCTCGGGCTATCCTATGAAATTCAAAGTGAATATCACTTGAACCGATGGTTTGTTTTAATGTTTTAAAAATGCTATCTAACGACAACTTTTGGTGTTATATTTTTGAAATCAATCAACATCTTTAAAATACTCTATAGAACATTACACTGTTGCACTCATGCAAGATTCGTTTGTTTGAACCTTGTATGTGAATAATTTTTTTTTTTAAATTTAGGTGACGATGAAAATATCTTTTGTCCAAAAAATGAAATGTATATGGGGTGCTTTTTTCGTCCCTTGTAAAAATAAATATCACACTTTTTGAATTCTCTTTAAAGGTAATAAATTTATCGATCTTCTTTCGAGCAAATTGATTCTAATCAAACTTTCATTGTGCCATACTTTATTTCAAATAACTTATATTCGGATTATGAAGTTTATCACCAGACAAATTTAGCATGGAATGTGAATATGTGATTGTGAGCTAGTTCAAGTCACTCATAGTTTATTTTGGTGGGTCCAAAGTCAAAATCACTCCACTTCACTCCCACGCAGAAATTCAACAACTTAATACATGTGTCCCAGTTAATTAATTAATCAGATTAAGATGGAATTGTACATTACTACTCCATAGTACAGCAACGACTTATTATATTTGTCGTAGAGAAAGTTTTTCTTAAAAAAACTGCCTTATTGTATAAACATATAACATACTAGTAATTAATTATTAAATTTGTTTAGACGAGATAAATATTTTAAAATGCTCCAATTCAAATAAGGGTACCTTTCAAATAAGTGAAATTTACACTAAATAGGACTAATACATAAGTCATTTTCGAATGTAGGATTTAAACTTTTTTATTTTCTAAATAGTACTTAATAATGTCTTGTGAGAAGAATAATATTCAGTCATGATAGACATTTACTTGAATAATGACTAATGGATAATGATCAATAGTCTTATATTGAAAAATAAAAATATATGATCTTATATTGAGAAAATTATTTTGTTTTAGTTCTATTTAGGTAAATCCCAAATCAAATAAACCAAAGCTCCATCTCTGCGGTAAAAAACTGCCACGCACGTAATTCTTACTCCAAGATGAAGTTGTTACTCAATCTCTTTTTTTTAAAGGAAAGTTGCATTGTTACTCAATCTATTTTACCCATATATACTCACAAGTCACAAACACACCATTTTAGTCATATATATCTAACATACCCATCGTGGAGGAGACGTGCAAATACAAAGTATTGCCCTAGTTTTTTTTAAAAAAAAATCATAAAGCAAAATAATGGCCTTGTTTGGAACATGACAATTGACAGTCTATTGTTGGTTGTTTATGTTGGCTGATTTGAATGGCTGATTGAGTTAGCTGTTTTGACTAGCTGTTTCTGTTAGCTGTTAAAAATTAGATGTTTGACCACTTTAGTTGTTTATAATTAGCTGTTTGTGAGTAAAATTAGATTTAAGGACATCCCTCCATTTATGTTAATTTGTGTTTGTTTTAATTTTTTTTAATTTGATAAAATACACACATTATACAAGAAAATGATTTACATATATTTTTTTGTTGGACAAAAAAGGCTACTTTGTTTTTTTTAATTTAAGAAATGAGAATTTACATTTATATTTTATAAGTAGATTTTTTTTGTATTTTTTTTCTTTTATCATTCTACAAATGACAACCATGCATGATATGTTTTATTTTATAATTTTTTAAATATGATATCATAAATATATAAAAATACTCTACACCAATTTTAAATTAAAAAAATAAATTAATTACTTGAGACAAGCATCACAATCTGAAGTATCAAACATCTTTTGAGACCACATGAGCATTATAAGTGACAAAAATCAGACAAGCTCTCGACTAGTTAGGAAATTGCAGGGAGAAAGTCATGAAAATTTCTAGTGCCGTGAGGATCGCAGAGAGATGCAACATTGAAAAAGGGTAAGAAACAGAAAAGGGAGTGAACTGCTAAATGAAATGCTGCTAGGGTTGGCCTTTCAATTTTTGGATGTTCGGTTCTAAATTCTAATTCCAAAAGTCATTATCCAAACAATTAATTTGGCGGTTTGACTAGTCCAATCCGCCATTTATGGTTAAAGATGCCAAATGCTGGATGAACCGCCATTTACCAAACATGGTCAATGTGTCATCACAGTAATATTTCATCCGTTTGAATTTAATTATCTATTTTCTTCCATTTGTCCATCATTATATATTATTGAAATATTGGAATAATAATATTTCTCATTGAATTATGAGGTAGAGTATATATAAGATAGACTCTTAACATAACTAGAAAAATAAGATAACCAATGGTTGAAAGATTTTCCCTGCGATCATTTGCAAAGTTCGAATCAGAGTAATTGCGCAGGCGCAAATTCCCCTTGCAAAATGTAATGCATGTGGTGAGAAAACTTTTGACATGATATTAGAGTCTTGTTGATAAAGAAGTCACAAGTTTGAAATTTATCGCCACTAAGTTTAAAAAATGCAAGGTTAAAAGCAGGCACGCCTGCACATGAGAGGGGTGTTAGGCTGGTAGGTGCGGTGTTCCTCATCACGCCTATCACGCCATTCCACTCCCGCTAGATCAACTTTTCTCTTTCCCGTCACAACCCATCACTAGACAGGGGTGTGGCATACACTCCTCTCCCTAAATATTTTTAAAATATTCAAATCAAAATTGCTTAAAATAAAAACATTAAATAAATATATCATTAAAAATTGTTTTGAAAAATTACATTGACATAATACAAAAAAAGAATAAGAGCGATAAATAGCAAGAATAAAGATGCAAGCACTTGATTAAAAAAATACTACTTGATTGAAAAAATCAAAGATCGCCGCCGAAGTTGTCGGCCGCACTTCCAAGCCAATTCCTGCTAATTTTGTCCTTCATTTTTTAGCAGTCGCACGCTCTAGAGGTGGCAAATGATTATTACTCACCATCAGAATCTCATACTCTTTTAGCTCACTACCTTTATGCACCAGCCAAAGTACCTCATCGGTAGGTTTACTTTTCAGCTGAATCTTGTGTGACTGCACTTGGTTGAACGCAGCCATTGTGGAGACAAGGTTGTCGATAGTTGACTCATTCGGGTTCGAGTGCCATCGACGATGATTTCTCTTCACCTTGTCTCGCCCGACGGGCTGTGTCAGCCTTGGAGGAGTCGGAATATTGTGGTCGTCACTCAGCAACGCAGAGGTCCAACGAGCATCAGACCTTCCAAGATTATTACTATATTTCACGGACCTCGACGTCTTGGTCCATTTCACCTGGGAGACCTTATCTAGTAGTGGAGCTGACTTCGGGTGCCCAGTCAATATCTCCCACACTTTCAGATGTGAGAATCAACTATTATATTGGGCATTGTACTTTGACAACATTGATTTTAAAACGTCATCGTCACTCGCCATATTTTGCCGAGTGAGGGTGGTGGAGTTGCATACACCAACGAACTTGTTGACTTTTGCATTCCAGTCACAGTATATGGAGGAGACGACATTGATGCGGCTCTAGGGCTCGGATCCGCGTTCATAAGTGTTTGGAATTGAATAACTAAATACTCGTTTTCGAGCATAATTGAATTTTAGAAATATGAATATTCAGTTACTTAAAAATGAGTATTCAGTTGCTCAAAAATAAGTATTCAATCACTCGTAAGTCGTAAATGAGTACTCGCCGCGGATATACTGTATATTCCGTATTGTATGGTATATATTATGATTTTGCTATGAGGCTTTAAATAAAACTATTTTAAAAATTAAAAAAATTGATACGTTGTTTAAATAAAGAATACTCCTTCTGAAAATTATCTTCTAATTCATTTTTCATATAGTCAAACTTTATTCATTTTGATAAAATAATATATTAATATCACTTCTCACTCTGTAGATTTTTATCTAGTCTTTAAATTTATAATTTTTTAATTTTACATTAACTTTCATTTAAAATAATTTGAAAATAAATCAATTAAATATTATAATGTGCAATAGAAGATAATTTTTAGAAAGAGGTTATCAATCCAAATTCCAAACACTTTCATTCCATCCGCTCATTTAATTGAAGTCCAAAAGCCAGTCTTCTGCCCCACCCTTTTGGTTTCCCCTGTTCCGAAGGAAAACATTGATCCGTTAGAAGACCAATCCCCTTCCCACAAGAAATTCTCAACCACTTCCATGCCGACGTTCAACCGCCGCACTCACTAAAACCTCCCTCAAATATGTCCGCCGCCGGCGTTAGCAAATTAGGCACCTCACTCTCCGTAGTCTTTGTAGCCTTTCTCGTAGCTCTCTTTGCCCAGTTCATTCTCGTCCTCTGCCGCCGCCGCCGCCGTCGCCGCACCGTTCCCCCTGTCTCCGGCGATGACGAACGCCGGTCTCCGCTGGCATCGAAAGAGGTTTTCTTGTTTTTCTGCCTCAGGACTGCCGCGCACCCCTCCAGGGTCGAGCCCAGCTCCACCCCGGGCGTCGAAGACTCGGCCGGGCCGTCCCCTGAGTCGCCGGAGATGGATCTCGTCGACCTGCTGAAGCTTTCCGGCGGCGGCCTCTACGGGCCCTCCAAGATTCTATTCACGATCAAGGAAGAAGAGAAGGAGGAAATGGAATCTGTTTGTTCTAATTCGGCGGAGAAGGGTCCGGAGTGGAAATGCGACGGTGGCCGGAGGAGCTTGGAGGACTGTTTTCAGATCGAGCAGGGGACGCCGGAAAATAAGCCGGCGGTGGTTTGCTCGACGGCCGATCATTGCTGTGTGAATATAGAAACGACGCCGTTCGCCACTCCAAGCGCCTCGCCGTCGTATTTCACTCCATTGGCCTCGCCTGGACATGGACTTCCAATTAACTCGCCGCCGCCGGCACCTGACGTTTAGGCGGTTTACCTCATGAACAGTACTCCGTATTTAATTTTATTTAAATTTTGCCATTTGGCCATTATTTTTCTTTTAATCCCTCTTTGACAATTACTAATAATTTCCTAATATTTCGTTGGTTCATGTCATTGGGTAAAAAAGAAGTCTCATATTTAAAAAAGTGTAGTTTGTTTAAAAATTCTGCTTATTTGTTTGTATTAGTATTAACTAGTTTGAATTAGTATTTGATTTGACGATTTTAGTAAGTAGTTATCTTAGTTAATGGAGAAATATTATCTGTTTAATTTAATAATTGTTTGCAAATAACTACTCATGAATGAAATTACATTCCTAAGTTAAGTTTTCAATTACCTCATTTACATAATGTTTGGCTGAAAAGAAAATAGAGAGATGAAATTGAAAAGTAAAGAGTAACAAAAAAATGTCATTCTCTAGAAAGTAAAATACAATAATTTTAAGTAAAGAGTAGTAAAAAATGTCATTTTCTAGCTTTGTGAAAATTGGCCTTTAGTCTAAGATGTTATTTTTCAAACACTTCATTTGATAACAGTGGAAATACTGCTAACGCCAAGGGGCGTTAGACGAGTTTTGACGCCTGGGGGGCGTGAAACACCGTCCTCCTTCCCCGTTAAAAGGGCGATAAAATACTTGCGTTAAAGGTTTGACGCGGTTTGAAGGCATTATCACGCCTTCTTCCTTCCTTTTTCTCCCTCTTTTTTCTTCTTTTCTTCTCTATAAATTAAATTAAATTTTTTTTAAAATTCAACACAAATACAAAATTCTCTCTATCTATCATTTTTTTAAAAAAATTATTATTCAAGTATTTTATTTATTTTTTCATGAATGTAATTTTTTTATTTAATGAATGTAATGTTTTTATTTAATTAATGTAGTTTTTTTATAATGCATGCAATTTTTTATTTTCATGAATGTAATTTTTTTTATTTAAAATCATGGAAACTGACCTTTCTACGTTGTCGGGTTTCAAACGGATGATATACGAGCAAAGACAAAGAGAGATCAAAGCGAAATATAATTTACCTTAGTTTTTTTAATTAATATATCTTTTTTAATATTGTCGTTTTTTTATTTTAATGAAAGTATTTTTTTGTATTCGTGTTTCAATATTATTAAATAATAAATTAATTTAAATTTATTAATTTAAATTTAGAAGATGTATATTTAAAAATGTAAAAAATAAAGGTTTGAAGCCCCAGGGCTTCAAACCCATTTCCAGTGAATTTTTGGCGTAAGTTAAAGCTGACGTGACAGAAAAAGAAATTTTGAAGCCCCGGTTTGAAGCTCCGGGGCTTCAAAGGTATTACCAGTGCTCTGACTATGAGTCTATGACCAGTTAAAAAGCCAAATCCGCCCTTCTTTAAAGTTTGAATCAATGAAAATTTTCCTCTTTTGCCTAAATGCATTTTTTAGTGATGTCAAAAAATATATCAAATTTTACAAAATAAGATATGACAAGAATATTTTATTTTATCAAATATTCAATAAAAATATACAAATATTTAAAAATTATTGAGAGAAGAGAAAAAAATTATAATCAAAATTAGAACGGAAGGAGTATATATTATGAAAAATTCCGACGTTTCACGCTTCCGTCCCCGTATAAGTCTCCGTCCTCGTCTCGGTGCAACTTAGACTATTACTATTCCATTCTATATTCTCAACAAATTTTTCATAATAGTACTACGTACTCTAGTATACTCCGTAATGTTCTATCCGTCTAATTTTTTCTTATTTCAAACAACGCATAAAATTATTTACAATTTGGTATATCAATAAAAAGTACAAATTACATTTTTCAAAAATGACATCAAAAGTTTTACAAAATAAAATATGACAACAATGTTTTATATTATTAAAAAATTAATAAAAATACACAATTAAACATAAATTGTTGAAATGACATAATTGTAATAGAGAAGAAAAAAATGAAGGGAGCAATAATGAAGCATATGAAATGTGATTATGTGGGTGTTTTTCTAGCGTTTATAAGTTGGTCAAAATTACTTATAAATCATTTTTAACTTATATGTCAATTGATGACATGTTTCTGTGTACTTATTTATGAGTTTACTTATAAGCTGCTTATAAGTCAGAAGAATAAATAGGTCTTAGCTACTTATTTTTAAGTCAGTTTTTTGTTTCTCCATTTTGATAAGATTATTTACAAAGTTGTTACTCACCATTTATAAATATTTACAAATGATTTATCTATCATTTAAGTCATTTTACTTCCACGAAAGAATATCTATCTTATTAACAGCTTATAACTTAAAAAAGTTTATCAGCAATAAATCAATAAATAGATTCACTAAACATGCATGGGATGAATCATGATTTGGAACAATCGGACAATAAACAGAAATGATCGAATATAGAACGAGGAATTTACTTAAATAACACTAAAACATAATGACTTTCCTTAAATAGCACCAAATGTGTTTTTCTTCCCAATGTAGTAGTTTTAGTCATTATACATTAGTTATTATTCAAGTAAATATTCGCCATCATAGGACATTATGGACATTATTAAATTAAGTGTTATTATATTTAGGAAATAAAACAATTTAAATGCTATTTAAGAAAATGATTTAAGTTTTAGTGCTATTTAGTGCAAATATTTCATATAAAACAACAAAAAGACTTACAGTCGACTCTACAAACAGAACAAACAATGGAGCTAGAAATAAGTAGAAAACAGATTCATTAAATATGCATGAGATGGATCGCAGATTTGGAACAATTAGAGAATAAACAGAAACGATCGAACAAAGAACAACGAAAAGACTTATAGCCGACTCCACAAACACAACAAACAATGGAGCTAGAAAAAAAGTAGAAAACAGATTCACTAAACATGCATGAGATGAATCATAGATTTAGAACAATCGGACAATAAACAGAATTGATCGAACATAGATCAACAAATTAAAAAGAATTACATCCTTGTAGGCAGACAGGGATGAGGTCGATGTATCACGACGATGGAAGTATTTGAGAAAGCCGATCGTTGCCATTGGATCGAAGAATCGGCGTTTGCATTTGGATCAAAGAATCGGCGGTTGCCATTGGATCGAAGAATCATTCACCTCTTGTTTTGAAAAAAACATTCATTGTTGTCATTGGTCGTTGCCATCATGATTCTTTGATCCAATGGCAACCACTGATTCTTCGATCCAGAAGCAAATGCCAATTCTTTGATCCAATGGCAACGACTGGCTTTCTCAAATACTTCCGTCGCCGTGATACAACGACCTCATCTCTTCATCTCTGTCCGCCTACAAGGTTGTAACTTGTAAGTCTTTTTGTTGTTCTATGTTCGATCAATTCTGTTTATTGCCCGATTGTTCCAAATCTATGATTCATCTCATGCATATTCAGTGACCACTTATTTCCACCGGCCAGCACTAATCATTGCTGACGGCCTTCCCAACTTTGTTTGGATTGGCTCTAAAACATATGTTTCCTAATTCAATCATTTCTTAGGGGTACCCCATAAAATATACTCCAAAGTGTACAATAAAGATATGCAGTATATTTTAATGATTCACACCGGCATAATATATTAGTGTGATTAAAAAGTTTATACTAATACATTGTGCACGTGTGAATCATTGCACCGGCATTACATTGGCACCAATGAAAGTGTACATTTGTGTTGTATAATTTGGAGTACATTTTTTGGAGTATAATTAGCTTAATTTTACGCGTTCTTCTTATAGATATTCACGTACACATAATGGTATCAAATGTTTGTAATGTTTATAAGAAGGCGGTGTTAGAATTGATTTCAAGGTTGAAACACACTTGACATTTTTCTAGAAACATTTGGTAATACTAACGCTTTCATATTAATGTGATCAATTTATATTAAAAAGACAAAAAAAGTCACCTGAAAGTCTATAAAATTTTTAAAGAAGAAAAAAGACGTGTCCTAAACATCATATCTATCTTATTATAAAGTAAGAGCGAAATTAGAAAACCATATTAAAATTTTCTATTTTTAGAGTGTTTTTTGTCAGAGTTTTATGAGACGAAAGAAGCATGCAAATTTCAAAATGAGACTTTTCAGTTCAAGTAGCATTTGTGTCCTTTTCTATGTGAATGAGACTAATGTGGCTATGAGTCTTTGACTCTTAGGTACAAAAAATGAATGTCCGGCGCCACAACGGTCAAATACTTAGCTCTATTTCTTTGGTTCTTTCTTTTTCACAAAATTGGGATTTTTAATGAATGAAAGTACATAGTATATTATTGGATGCATTGTCGGTCTTGTGTCAATGATTTTGGAAGTTGACTTGTCTTATTATGTTATATTCACTCTCTCTACAATTCGACCGAAATGAACATGAGGTGTATGAAGTGTACCCTAGCTGGTGCACACCCTGCTTCTCACTGACACACACAAACAATTGTTGTCTGTGTGCGTCTGTGAGAAGCGTGTTGTACACATGATGTACACAAAGAATCGGTGGTTGCCATTGGATCGAAGAATCATTCACCTCTTGTTTTGAAAAAAACATTCATTGTTGTCATTGGTCGTTGCCATCATGATTCTTTGATCCAATGGCAACCGCCGATTCTTCGATCCAGAAGCAAATGCCAATTCTTTGATCCAATGGCAACGACTGGCTTTCTCAAATACTTCCGTCGCCGTGATACAACGACCTCATCTCTTCATCTCTGTCCGCCTACAAGGTTGTAACTTGTAAGTCTTTTTGTTGTTCTATATTCGATCATTTCTGTTTATTGTCCGATTGTTCCAAATCATGATTCATCTCATGTTTGTTCTGTTTGTGGAGTCAACTTGTCTTTTTTATCCACTACACAAAAGCATAAGGAGAAACAAATTTAGGCCTTTGGCCGGCCTAATTTCATTCTTCATGTTTTGCTTTTCGGTCTCTAGAAACTTAAAAACGAGAGTTTCCCATTCAAACTAGAGTGTGATTTTTTTGGACAACTAAAGGAAAATCTTGTCTTCATGGATTACTTTATGGGCTTCAAAAGAGACAAAAGTGTATTTTAAAAAAACTACTTCTATAGCAGCATGTACCACATTAATTTAATTTGTTTTCATATGGTATGGTTTGATAGCCATATATCTAATCGTTTGAGAGCCTTCATATTAGGGTCGGC